TTTAAAAGGTTTAATTCCAAGATAGCAAATTTCAGAGGCAAAACCAGCCTGCCCAATGGGCAAATGGGTTCCTTGGGAAGGATGTTGGCAAGGCTGAACACATAGGGTCTGGCATATCGAAGGACCCTGTCAGATAGGACCCTCTGTAGTTGGAGATGGAAAGGACTCTCCAGTGGGGATAGAATGTAACAGGTCTTTTTTTTTTTTTTTTTTTTGAGACAGGGTTTCTCTGTGTAGCCTTGGCAGCCCTGGACTTGGTTTGTAGAACAGGCTGCCCTTGTACTCAGTGATCCACCTGCCTCTGTCTCCCTGAGAATTGGGATCAAAGGTGTGCGCTACCACATCCGGCACTGTAACAGGCCATTTTAATGTATGCCACTTAACAACAGCTCCTAAGCCTGCCGCACACCTGGCAAGCTGCCCCCCACCTACAGGCTGACTGTAAAAACCCCTTAGGGCTGACTTTTCCATGGGAGGGTGATCTTTGTGACCCACAGCCCTTGGGGCACAAAGGAGGTTATCTCTGAGACCACCAAGCAATGGGTCCATCTCAGCCAGAAGTCTGTGTGATGTCTGCTCTAACCAGCCGCCCACTTCTCCATAACGATTTCTGCAAGGGACATACAGAAAGGTAGATTATGGTGCCAGGGTCGCACAGAAAGTTACAGGGTGGCAGGCTTAGGTTAGGGTTTGGGAGCTCACATCTTGGGAATGTGAGTGGAAAAACAGATGCAAATAAGTTTGGCAGGCAGGCTATGATATCAAATGGAATTCAGCTGTCAGCCTTGGCACTTGAGGCGAGGGCCAGTCAGATGGGCATCAGAGCACAGCTAAGGCACGGTGCCATTCCAGATAGCCAGGAATGTCCCCAACAGTCTTCCTACCAGTGCCTAGAATCACCAGGGTACCTTGAAAAAAATATGGATGAGGGACAGGGCAGACCTGATTTAACTGTCTGCGCTAGGGCCTGACAGTGGCATCTGTTAAAAATTCCCCAAATAGTTCTAATGAAAGTTGTTTCCAAGGACTGAAAACCAACGGCCTAGGCTGTGGCTCTTTAGTATTTTGGGGAGGAGACATGAGAGACACACAGGACGCTTTTGACGGCGGTACACGTCTGCCCATCTATCAGCATGTTAGTGAGGAGGCTGGTGCCTATAGTTTTTAAAAAACTCATTTTGGACTGGAGAGATGGCTCAGCAGTTAAGAGCTCGAGCTGCTATTCCAGAGGATGGAGATTCAATTCCCATCGCCCACATGGCAGCCTTTAACTCCAGTTCCAGAGGACCCACAGACACACAGTAGGCAAAAGAGACACACACACACACACACACACACTACAACAAAACAAAACAAAACAAAACAAAACTGATGCTGATGATTTCACCTGGCCATGAAAACCACTAACTGACAGCAGGCAAACATCCATATAAATGTTCTTGGTGGCACAATATGAGGGACTCACAAGCCGATAATCCTAACCTTTAACCGAAACAACTGGTCAGTGGGTGTTTCTTCCCCTGCATCTGCCTCTCCACATTGGGAAACAGTCTTCAGGAATGGGATCTGTATTATTGCCAAGTGGTTGGCACTAGAAGGGGAGCCTGTAGGTGGGAGGGGGGGGGGGAAGTGGTGCCTGGGGCATGCAGGATAATGGTGGATCAAGTGACAGAGCTGTGAGTTGGGGAGCAAGGCAGAGCCTGCCACTGGCTTGCTACAGTGCGAGAGAGACTTCCCTTCAGACCCAGCACAATGGAGACCCAGATTCTCCTGGCAAAGCCAGGCTTTCAACTGTTTGTTTTTTTTTTTTCTTCTCCCCTAGCCTTGATGGCTGGTCTCCAAACATCAAGCATGCAAACTTTGAGGAGGGCATGCATTGGGTGTGCCCGACAAGCAGGAAGAGATGCAGCTCCATCGCTCGGGAGCTCTCCCTCCAGGCTGTGATTGTGCTATAATAAACCCAGGTCCTCGGAGTCAATCAGCATTTCCTGATGAGAGCTAAGCAGATCAGTGGCATTTATCCGGAGCGTTCAGCCTCTGCATGAAGGCCATGGTGGCAAGCTTAAACCCAGAGGTCCACATCAGTCAGTGTCAACAGGAGAGCAATGTTAAGTTCAAGCCCTGAAACCCAGGTAAAGGTGGAAGGAGAGAACCTATTACACCAAGTTGTAATTACTTGGTTACAACTTACTCTACAGGCCCAGAACACACACACACACACACACACACACACACACACACACACACACCTATTTAGGTGTCACTGTCACCAGGAACCAAGATGGCTCGGGGGAGGGGTACCTATGATTGAAATTCCCCACAACGCATTACACAGAGTGGAGGTGTCTGCGGCAGCCCAAATCTACTGATCTTTAATTCCACAGGGGTCTTTGGATGTTCTCTTGTATTTTCTGTCCTAATGGCTGAGCAGCCTGGAAAAGATCAAGGGTTCTCTTCCACCCTGCACAGAGAGCCAGTGCACAGAACTCTTCATCAGCTATGAACAGCTGAAGGCTCTCCAGGGAAAAACCTGTCACTCCTGGCTAATGAGGCCCCTGCCGTAGACAGTGCGGAAAGGAAAGGAGGACAGTGAAGGCCAGCTTGGCTTCTGTGAGGCTGGCCGAAAGCACAGGGACAGTGTGGCATCTGGCTCAGGACTAAAGATCTCCCAAAAGTAGAGGCAGCAACCAGCAAGCTATACTTTTTTGGTTTAAGGCCTGGAACATCCTGCAGAATGGGCCCCCGGGGCCAACTGGAGTGGTTTTCAGTCATGGCAAGGTTAATCACTGTACCTCCTACACTACCTGTTAGGGTTTACGTTATCATAACCAGTTAGGAAGCTACTGGGCAGCAGCTACAAACGCTGAGCATGCCTGTGAACCAGACCACGACCTGTCACGTTACATCTGCAATATACGTGGCACTGTGACCACACACGCTTGCCGAAAGACAGTCACAGAAACATCCACGGCGACAGCATTCACAGTGGCCTCCCACTAGAAGGACCACTGACAGTCTGGTGGATACATTCTACGCAGAATGCCACAGGGTCAGGACACTCAACAGACAATGACATGCAACAAAACTTGGAAGGAGTTTTGAGTGAAAGAGCTACTGGGTTTCATTTACATAAGATAGCGTAGGTAAATACAGCCAATCTACAACAAATATACTAACAACCATTGGCTGAGCTGCTTTGGTTTTTATTTATGTATTCATCCATTTGGAGACAGGGTCTGTCTATGTAGCCTCCATCACCCAATTCTCTGCAGCCCAGTCTATCCTCAAACTCGAAACAATCCTCCCACACCCGTCTTTCAGTTGTGGCGTGTCCCCTATCCCTGGCTCTTGTATACTTTACACAGTGAATCATATGATTTGTGAATAATACCTCACTGTTATGTTCAAAGATCTGTAGTATTTGAAGTCAGGACAGTGGTTACACTTGATGGAGATTGGGTGGAACCTCTGGGTCTTGTTTCATTAAAAAGAGCTGGTGACAAGAGCCCATTTAGGTGTGACGACTCTGGGTGCCTGTGCATGCCTCTGTGTGTACACCGAACCACAAACAGCTGGGTGGTGGCAATACACACCTTTAGTCCCAGCACTTGGGAGACTGAGGCAGGTGGATCCGCAAGTTCAAGGCCAGCCTGCTCTACAGAGTGAGTTCCAGGACAGTCAGGGTTACACAGAGAAACCCTACCTTGAAAAACTGAAGAAGGAAGGAAGGAAGGAAGGAAGGAAGGAAGGAAGGAAGGAAGGAA